CACAATCACCGAAAGCTTTTTTGGTTCAAAAATTGTCACAAGTTTTTGGCTCAGAATATGTCATCAGTGTTTGAGATGAAATGGTTTAGTGATGAGAGGACGGCTATATTGCAATGTTTGAAAACTGATCAACTGGATTGATTCGCAGACGACAGCTTGTAGAAATGGATTTTAGTACTCTCAGCATATTAGGTGAGCTAATTTTGAATTGACAAATCAAGTTTGTAAAACTGATTCTGAGGATTTGAAAAACGTGACTTCTATTGCAAGCTCTTCTGTCAAAAACTTATAACCGTAGCGAGTTTTTTTGAAAATGGACCATGTTATTTTGAAATGAGGAGAGCCATTCCGCCACGTTTTGAAAGATGGCTAAAATAGAGCTCTCCCTACAAGGTATAAAACTGGAATCTATTTTTAAAAACGTGGTACTGATGGAAATTTTATCAAAATTGTGAACAACAGATTCTTGTAAATTGGCGTAAATAAGGATGTATTTGCTTCGTATGGCCAACTTGCCATCTGTAACCACCAGTAAAAAGACAGATTTCTCCTTGGAAACTAGTAACAACATCACTTGACTTGGGCAGTGACCTGCAGGATTAAGAGAGACAGTTAGGGTTTCCGTCTCGTCGCCTTCCCTTGAAACATGCAATGTTACGCTATTTTCTGATTACGAATATATTCTATAGTAAGTTAAATGAACATAAAGTGGCACTGCACTTCACAAAGCAACCGGGGCTTCATGACAAAAATACTCAAAGTTATAATCTTTTATGCTCTCGAACAGCACGGCTCATTAAGGCGCACCATGTGATCTGTATGACAAAATGAAAGAAAACAAACCTTAGATTTGAGGTTCTGACCATTAAAGCAATCAATCAGTTCTGATATACAAACAAAAAAAATTCTGATACTGGACCGGCAAATTCTGATAATATACCGGCAAATTCTGACATAATTTCAGACAGTAAAGTGAGGTGGAAGAATGACTTGATAGTGAGGAAAAAAAGTGAGGACAGCAATTTCTACAGTTTTTGAGAAAGGAGAAGACCAACACAAGTTGATCCATCAAGACCTTCAAGATGACTGGACATGGGTGGTTATAAGCCCGTTTTTCGTGGGAAAATTTATCTTTGAATTACTTAGAGCCAATAGTGGATTTTGACATTTGGGCACATGATTAACGACACGCGTAGATCCGCTAAGAATACTAATTATCAGGTTTAGTTAGAGCTATAAATGAGATTTTACTCAATTTAGAAATAATTAGTTTGAGTTTTTTAATTCCACTCTTTTGGTTGGTGGTACAAAAAGACTACCAATTAGGCCAGCTCAATTCAAAAATAAATCTAAATGACAATGATGGACAGAAGATATTTTAAATTTCATCAATTCGAAAGATACTGCTAAACCTAAATGACCGCAAATGACTATAAACAAGTTCAATCATTGAAAGATACAAAAGATAGCGGCACTCAAAAAACATACAAAAGATCAAAGATACAAAACTCGAATCCTTATTAATAACAATGTTGAAAGAGTGTTGAGGCGATGAGTTGTGAAGGCACTTTGAAGACGATGACGAGTTTTCAAGGCGCTGAGAATTCCCGGCATGAGGATTTTTTGAATGTAAGGCTTTTTTGAAAGCCTTATCCAATGATGATCACTCTAGAGATGTCCATTCTAGTGATGTTGACTTGATTTGGGCCAAAATGAAAAGTTGCTGAGTAAATTCCTTTATCGACGAAAATCAAAAATTGGTTTAATCGAAAAAGAGCTTGATAAAATGTTGCTAAATTCTGGGCAGTATCTTGTCTGCATTATTTTGAAAGCTTAATTTTGTAGGCGCTACTTTTTTTAGATTAAAATTAAAATAAAAATTCCTGATTAAGTTTGTTTATCGACGAAACTAAAATTAGGTAGATTCGAGAAAGACCTTGTAGATAACTTGAATCATTTTTACCGATTGAAATATTCATTGGCTGAATGTTTCATTTTACACTGAAGGTTTGTCACTGTCTGCCTTCTGATAAAAGCAGTCAATGTCTAGGCATAAAATATTTGTGTAGAAATGTTTTAGAATTTGACTTAAATTATTCTCATTTGGAACCTTTTAAACGAGCGGCCAACAGATGCAAGCGGCTTTTCCTTGGCTTCGACCTTGGGCCGGCCTTGTCAATGGCTCTCCTTGCTCTCTTGCCAGACCGCGCCTACTTGCTCCCTCTTCGATGGCGTCAGTTAGCGAGTCATCCGTCTATTTTTCCTGCTCTTTTTCTGTCTATTTTTCCTGCTCAAGAATAACTGGCTGTTTTTCCTCTTCCTCACTATCACTAGAGCCCTGATAGGACTCGACGTCCTCCCCCTCCACTTCTTTATCAGCGTCTACCTCCGCCGTCATCAAACAAAAATTGTCTTTGTTCTCATCATTGTCAGAGTAATTTCTAAATTCAACAAAGGTAAAATATGATTGATTTGAAGGAAAAGAGTTGGATCTTTTTTTGTGAAATTATTGGGAAGGTTCATCTTGGTGTAAAGTGGAAATGAGGGGTTGTTTACATGGCCCAGTTTTATTTAGTTCAAAAATTACAAAGTCATAAGAAAAAGTTACCTGTAAAGACAAACTTTCCCCACACTCCAACGCGTATCGACAGAAGGGGACACTTCTGATGTATTCTTCCGTTGGCCACCAGCTTCTAGCAGTATAGGCACAAGTAGTGCCCAACCTCTCCATCGTTAATTTTTTACTGCGTTTTTTCGAGGCAGCAGAGTGGTATTCTTCAATGGCAGACAAGATAACTCTCATATTTCTGAAGCTCGGTACTTCAGTTACCTTCACTGACGCGTACAAAATAAATAAAAAATTGTAAGCTTCCCTCAAAGCACTTCTCTTGTTCAAAACAGAGACAGCATTTTTACTCAGATAGTTGAGAATTTGTCAATCTTTACCCAACGAGACCAAAAAATAAAGCATAATAAAGCCGCACAAACAGAAGTTACTCTAGCAATTTGACAAATCGTCAAATTTCGAATTTAAAATTAAATATACAAAATGATTTCACGTCAAAATTTTGTAGCATTGGAGCCGAAGGCGTCAATGTTTTTTCAAGGTATTGTCACTAGAAATATTGCTGCCTTAGTTTTTGAAAAAAAAAAACTGAATTTGAATTATCGAATTTGTGTACAAAAGCAACTTGAGTGCCCATGAGGCGCTATGCTTGCCAGTTTGCGTATAACGATTTCAGGTTCTTTGTCCGTATTATTCCGCTTTTTTTCCGAGTTTCGTAACAAAAATAATGGGATAATTGTGCTCGCAGTGTTTTTTTCTTCAAAAAATTTCAATTTTTTAACTAGTTCTGTTTAATGTTTTTTGTTGTAAAATGTTTACCTGAGATCATTTTTTGTATTGTTTTGGGGCTGCGAATTGTTCCATTTTGGTCTGTTTGCGACAATTAACGCGCAATAAATATCACTTTGTATATTAAATGGCGTGTTGGGGGGTGGTTATCACAAAATTAAAAAATGTTCAGTTTCTTTTTTTTTTATTTTATTTTTTCATCTTAGCACTGCTTCATAGACCTCAAAAGGCAGCTAGTGCCTCAATCATTTTTTAAAGATTTTATCGTGCATGTTGGTCGTTTGTTTTTCCGACGTTCGAAGAAAACACAATTTTTTAATGCTTGGCGTGCTTTTTTTCATTCAATTTTCAGCAATTGAAATATTAATTTTCAACAGAAAAAAACTAAGATCCCATTGAAGATATCGACTCTCTGAATTAAAAAGTAAACAGACATTTTACCCCTGGTTGTTGTTTTTTTGAAAGTTCTGGGTTTTTGAAAGTAGCCTATATACCTTTGATCCGGGCTTATTTATTAGCGCTTTGATGATTTTATTCATAAAAATAAAAGCGTAACGCGAATTATCGCGCACAACTAAATCGTTCTAAATTAAATTGAGGCTATCTAATCGGTCGTATTAAATTCGTACGACTAATAGCTTCAAACTTACGAAATTTTTAGTTTTCAAAAGTTTTCTTTTACCAAAAATTAATGGAAATCAATTAAAGGGCAGTCGGAACCTTCAGGGCTTAGCACAGATATACGCACAAGCTTGTTAACGCCTTAATCCCATACACTGATAAAAAAAGAATTCAAGTGCTAATCGAGTTTGAAAATTCCTTAAGGACTTACAATAAAAAAAGCCAACATACAATTGTATAAGTATCAATGAGATGATTTTGATGGAAAAATTTCAACATTCGAATTTCAAAGAAAAAAATAGATGCCCTTTAAGCTCTTTGAAATTCTAGAACAATTTATGTTTGGCGCTTTTTTATAACACTATCCCAAATTGAGAAAACTGGATCAACAGTTAGAAATTTTATTCTGCTGCTGGAAATCAAAAACTTTAATTCCCATTTCGAAGCTAGAAATTGTTCACGGTTTTTCGCGCCATTTCTACGTCCGTTATTGGCGAAGGATATAAAAGTCACTGAGGGCAGATGAATTTCAACTATTATTAGGAATGCATTTATACTTAAGAGCATTTATATATGCATCAATATATATGATTGCACATCTGTAGTTATTAGAGACTTTTATCCACATTTTAACTTTTTCCTGAAAAACAAAAAAAAAATCAGCAAGACTCTTAAAAAGAGCATTCACTACGTTCATTTATGTTTAAAATCACCGCTTTCGAATGTGAAAGAAAAAGATAGCTGCCCTCAAAGCACTTTTAATTTCTAGAACAGGTTCTGATTGGCACTTTTTTTTAATCAATTTAAACCATTTTGAGAAACTAAGAAGACTTACTAATTAGATCACAAGAGAAGAAAATTCTCATTTCACTGGGAAATGTAAAAATTGAAAGCGACCTTCGAAACTAGAAGTCTATCTGATTTTTCGTGAATGTTTACCTTTTGTAGTTTAACTCTGAAGTTTAACTCGCGAATAGGTTTTTAATCTCGAGCGGTTAGAATTTTGAAGCCGCCTTAAAACTGATCAGAAACTAAATTCAATTCACAATCTAGGACGCAAAAAGCAATAATAATTATTTTGAAACAAATCACAAAATTATTTCAAACGAAGACTCAAAAACGCAGAGACAAATAGATTAGCGACTTACAATTTGAAAATCCATGGTTAATAAATCAAATATTTTTCAAAACACAATTTATCACTCTTAAAAAGTCCATTTGAAGTTAGATTAACTTCGCTCGCTGCATTTTATTTTTTCCGAAGACGCTTTCCTTCTGGCTGTCTTTGGCTTTCAGAAAAGGGAGACAAAACAACATGTCTGCTACTTCTTCGAGTGGACGATCTATTGAGAACCGGCGAATTTATAGAGCCTGAAAATAAAAAATAAGCCAAGGATGAAAACGTGCGTGTAACTATATCATTCAACTACATAGAGAAAACAAACATTTTTCATGAAAAATTTCAATCAAAACTTGGAAAAGAAGCGATTTGAAAAATAATCGATAAGACGCAGACAAGTTAAAATGACCCTGAGAATAAGAAAAGCTTGAAACTAAAAGATTGAAACCGCTCACGTTTTATTGATGTCCCACGTTCAGCTTTCTTCTCAGCTCCCACACGTTTCGGCTTCTCTTTTTTGATTTCATCCTGACTCGAGTTCACTTCACTTTCATTTTGAGAACTTTCTTCTGGTATTTCATTTTCTACATCTTCATCCTCGCTCGAATCTTCTACAACTGCCCGTCTACTTCTCGTTTGCTTCGTCTGATTATTTCCTTTACTCGGTTTTTGGGACATCACACCCCGTGTTTGTCTTGCGAGGAGTGAACTCGATGTCTGTCGGCTCGCTCGAGTCGACCTCGGTGTTCGGTCATTTTCGGCAACAACTGCTCCATTCGGCTCCGAATTTTCATCACCGTCCTCACCTTCTGCGTCATTCGAACCCGAGAATGCCGTCTGCAAAGCCGACTCAAATTCAGCTACTGCCGATTTGGATTCGGGTTTGCAAGATTTCTTGTATGTATCCACTATAGATTTGAAACAGCCCAGTAGATGTTCGTCGTGACGTAGACAGGGTGCGTAGTTGGGAATATTGTCTTGCAGCTTTTGGAAGCCCCGGTCCGTGTAGTGCAAGAGTGAGAGAACGTAACCAATGTGGTGACATTGCACTCTCGAGTCACTAAAAAGCGAATACTTGATTTAAAACAACACCTTGCAGGAATCGCACAAATTTTCCACTATTTCTGGGGTTTGATCTTAGCACAGTCCTTCCTATCAATGGAACTTCAACAGCAAAACGTCTCGAAGCGTTGCTATATGATTAAAGTAATCTGTTGTCAAAATGTTGTACTGAGTCCTTGGTCATTTCATGAAACTATAGATTCACTTCGCATAATCATTGACGCTTCATACCGCCAAAAACTTACATGTTAAATGAAAATCGAAATGAGATGTCTACTTACTTGACAACTCGGAACCTCAAACACATTTTCTCAATGAACGCCTCGTTTAACTTCTCTTTTGGCAGCAACTTAATAATATGTCCAATCACTGCGTTGAACTTTGACCTCTGACCTTCACCCTCCTGATCTTCGTCATCTTCATCGTCACTACTTGTTAACACTTTCTGCTTATTTTCACGATCTTTGTTTTGCTCTCCATTTTCAGCTTCAGCTTCATTGGTTATGACGTCATCGATTTTCTGAATTTGTTCATCTTCATCTGCGTTGTTACTCGACAAGCGACTGATCAAATCAGGCAATACGTTATACAGCAAATTATTCTTCTTCGCCAACTCCCCAAACAGATATTTAGCCTGCGACGCTATTTGCTCGTTCGGGTCAATGATACACTTGGCCAGTTCACTTATTTGACCTTTGACCTTTATCATCTCTTTTAGTATCAGTTGACACACTGTGTTTGCACAAGTGAGCCGCACTTGGTCACTCTTGTCCTGTAGTCTGGCGTAAACGTTTGGAGTCCAGGGTTCTATGACATTTGGGAAGCACATGATTAGATCCCATGTGAACATTAAAGCGGAAGATCGGATCGTAGGGTCTGGGTCTTTTTCCATGATGGTGAAAAGGACTCGCAGGTTTTGTCGACAGAAAACCTCACTGAAACATATCACAACTAACAGCCATGACTAACGAATTATTTCTTTTCTGGTTGCTTAAATTTTCCAAAGGGTCCCCCTTTGGTATAAGTTGACGAGATCCATTTTTTGGCTGGCCAACATCAAAAGTTTTCTAAAGGCGCCTTGGGTCCCAATATAACTAAACTTGAGGGGGAGCGAACGCCGAAAAAAAACGCAATTTGGTGGTCAAATATTTTAAAAAGTGCTCAAAAAGTCGATTTGTGCCTGTTTTTTTTTTTAAATCTGTCTGCGATGCAGAAATTTTCCCACAAAATAGGGTCCTTAAAGTATTTTCGGAGAGCTCGGAAAATCAAATTGGTCGACCTAAAAAGGTCGACAAAACCTATACATTTTTTTCGATTATTCCCTGGAATTACTTATGTGCACGCCACTGAAACAGTGTTATCTTGTAAGATATTGCAAGATAACCTCCTTTCAAGATAGCCTTTTAGGCAGCAGGGGCAGATCTAACTGCGGATAGGTGCGAGATGGAGGTGCGGATTTTTGTGGGTCGACCTTTTTGTGGGTCGACCAAATTGATGTTCCGAGCTCGGCTCTTTTTTCGAATATTTGGAAGGAAAAAGAGCCCCGAGCGCTCCGAAATCACTAAAGAGATACTGTTTTGGCAAAATTTTCTGCTCCGCGGGCAAAATGTTTTAAAAAAACAGTCCAAAAAAAACGCGTTTTTAGGCACTTTTCGGAAAATTTTGACCCAAAGAAATGCACTTTTTTCGGCTCGCGTTTCCCCCTCAAAAATATTTTAAATATTATTTATATTTTATCAAATACACTTCTTTAAAATACCCACACATTTCTCAAAAAATGACAATATATGGACTCGAACTTTTTACTTCCGTTTTCAAATTTGATTGGAAGATTTTTCAGTACTGCAGACAATGCATATTCTGATCTGTGGCAAAACCTGAAAATGCAATTGTTTCTGAAAATCAACAAAAAATACTGAGATGACAATGAAATCGAGTGAAAATTGTTCACCAAGAGTGATGCTACGTGTTTGTAATTAACTGTACAATTAATTGAGGAGGAGGGGGAGGGCGTCCGCTCCTCTAAATACACCCCTGTTAGGAAGACCTATAAAGATTTGGAACTAAAAAAACTCACGAGGTGAGAACCCCTCAGTCCTTGCATGAAAACAGCCCGCCGCAAGTAAACTTTGTAAAATGATAAGCAACTAACAATTCACGTCTTGGTTGAGTGAAATAAAAAATAACAATTGATTATATTCAAATCATATCCACGACAATCATGAAGCGACAATTCGCAACAGGCGACAATTCGTAACAATCATTTGAGGGGGCAAACACTAATTTAGGCGCATTATTCCTCTCGTGCCGAATGAAAGCGCAGCGGAGCAAGCTTATTTTACTTGCTATTGCCTTGTTACGAATTGTCGCTTGTACGAATTGTCGCCCTACCAACAGACAGTTGGACACAGAGGCGAAGTCGCACTTGGCATACACAAGCAAAAATAGGACCGATAACGCTATTGTGGGAAACTGAATGAGTGAAACTTTGAGTCTACAAAACTTCATAAGTAACGCATATTGCAGATTGAGTCTACATAATTGCTTAGTGACCCAAGCCTATTAAGACGCATTAGCAGTACCAGTCTGAAAAAAAAATAAATTTGCCAACTAACATGCCTCAATTTATAGAGCTGACGCATTTTAGCTAGTATACAAAAAATCATTATCTGATCCTGCCCAGGTTCGAACCCTCTTATTTTGTTGCTGGTTTCATTCCCTACCTCTACGCTACAAATCCATGATGCCTTGCAGCTAAATTGCTAGTTGTAAAATAATAGTCTGTGTTAATATCCTTAGCATTGGCTGTACTTAATAGCTGGATCAAAATGAACAGTTTCAAAATGAACACATTTTGTCGCAACAATAGGATCGCAACAAAATTTGCGACTTCGGTTGGAAACAAAAGAAACTTCATACTATAACAGAAGCTATGCTTGTGTAAAAAGAGTCAAAGAACGCAAGGAAACAGAAAACAAACTGACTTGTTATTTGAAAAAACTTTCAAATTTCAAAAAAAAAAACAGGTAAAATTTTCATTTCGCTGGGAAATCTGATAATTAAATTCCGGTTTCGAAATTAGCAATCAAATTTAAAATTAACCGCAAAAACACAAATTTCAAGACTTTTCTTTAAAAAAATAAACAAACAAATCACCAAGACCTAAATAAACGTATTGGCTATGTTCACAGGGGCGGATCTAGGATTTTCTCGGGGAGGGGGCAGATTTTCAAAAAAATTTCAAAAATTTTGTCGACCTTTTTTTAGGTCGAACAAATTGATTTTCCGAGCTCTCCTAAAGCACTAAAAAGACGTTGTTTTGTCCAATATTTCTGCTCCGCAGACAAAATTTTGTAAAAGGTAAAAAAAGCGGTACTAGTTTACTCCCTCAAAAATGCTGTGGTCCCTAATTAAAACCGATTCTAACAGTAAGCATTTTCATTTCTCTATATTGCAGTCGAATCCTGGCTAGTTAGTCTGGAGGGTACGAATCCGGATACCAACCACAAGGCGTAGGTTCGAATCTCGTGCTGGCTCTTTTTTTGAAAATAGGCGGGACCAAGCATCTAAGCTAGTTTTGTCACGGGACCAAACAAGTAAAATAAATCTAAAAAGCCATTCTTGGGCCCTTTGGGTCGACAGTGGGTCGAATCCCTGAGGGCGGCGGGGGTACCGCCCCCTAAATCCCCCTGCACATTCATGACTCTAAACAAGTAGCGTAATATGGAAGATTAGGCTCTTTTTCCTTCCCCCGCCCCCACCATAACGATCAATTTTATGGTGTAACGAATAGTTTTAGTTTCACAAGGTTATGGATCAGGACCAAATATGTTTGTCCTGACCTAATTAGTCTGCCTGCATGCCAACTTTTGTAACAATCGGACAACCTGAACAGAAAAATTGTTATAAAAATTTGCAGGTGAGAGAAAAGAAAAGGAGCCGAAGATTCTATAATGGGGCTCTTTTCCAGTTTCCCCTTTCAAATTCAATTTTGAAAAGCTTATTGGTACTACTATGATAAAGTGGTCCCTCGAAAAAGAAATTATGATAGACAGGTCCCGCATGCATTACGCGTGCTATAACTTTGAAAACTAATTTGTGTATAAATTATTCATTTCAAAAATTGCGCGAAATATTATGATTCAGAAACTTTTGTTACCAAAAAGTGTAATTACTACCAGGCGCGGATCTAGGAATTTCTCGAGGGGGGGGGGCGATTTTTAGCAATTTTTAGGTCATGGTTCTTGTGCACAAAACGGACCAAAATCAAAATATCTTTTAGCTAAAATTAATGCGGCAAAATTTGATTGGCTAATATTAGCCAACCAAATTCAAGCAAGATGGTCAGACATGTCAATCAACTGTTCCAATAATTTTATCTGCTTAAATTGTAATTGAAATGCCGGACCATATTGTTTGCATTTGATTGGCTAATTAACCAATCAGATTGAACCAGATATTGACGTAAGATCAAGTAAGAGCATACTTATTTTGGGCCGTTTAGTGCATAAGACCCCTAAACGCGGAGGGTTCTCATGCTTGAAGGACCGAATGCTTGAAAAATTTCAACCAATCAAAATCGCCAAGCGTTTCTACTGGCTAAATGCCTTTCTCACAAAATCGAAGTCAATATTAACAGAAAATGTATTAAATCAGTGGAAAACAATAAAAAAAATTACGAATTGCGGGTTACAACCCAATACTATTCAGATAATTATCAATATTAATGAGGTCAAAATCATACGAAAATTTCAGTCTTGAAAACTCATCTGCTTATTATCTAATCGGTCAATATTAACACTAATGGCCTGGATTTATTTTCTTACTTTGAGATTTTCACGATTTATTTTGAGATTTTGAATACTCAATTCTGATTGGCGGAAAGTAAGCTAAAATTAATTTCAAGCATTCGGTCCTTCAAGCATGAGGGACGCCCCCCCCCCCCCCCAAACCACTATAAAGACCTTTAAATTGACGAAATTTTCTGCGCCGCAGGCAAATTTTTGAAAAAAGGCGTTTTTAAGTACTTTTTGGAAAACTTCGACCAAAAAATCGTGTTTTTTCGGGTACTACTACGAAAGATTGGTCCCACAAAAAAGCAACTATGATAGATGGCTCCCGCATGCATTTCGCATGTTATAATTTTGACAACTAATTGGTGCATAAATTAATCATTTCAAAAATCTCAAGAAATATGTTGAGTCAGAAAATTGTGTATATCAAGAAATATGCTCGCTTCAACTTAATTTACGGTTTAACAACCATAATTGGGTTAACTTATTGGTACTACTATGATAGAGTGGTCCCCCAAAAAAGCAACTATGATAGACAGGTCCCGCATGCATTTCGCATGTTATAATTTTGAAAACTAATTTGTGTATAAATTATTCATTTCAAAAATCTTGCAAAATATGTTCAGCCAGAAACTTTTCAGATTGAAAACTGTAATCACTATTGTTTATATATTGAAATTTGCTCGCTTTACTTTATTTTACGGTTCAACAACCATATAATTGGGTTGACTTATTTGACATCAAAACCCACTATTGGCGTTTTTTTTTTAAATTTTCAACCTTATTAAAATGTTGAGGGGGAAGTTTTAAGAGGTAACAAAACATAAAATTTATGAAAATATACTGCGACATCTTTCTGAAGGGCTCAATCATAATTATTGAAGGATTTGAGAGCTCTAGGTGTCTTATTCTCAAGGGACCTGGTTATTTTCAAGGGACCACTCTATCATAGTAGTACCAACTTATTTGTCATCAAAATTCAATTTTGGCATTTTTTTAAGTTTCTACCTTAAAATGATGAGGGATGTTCATACAAATTTTATGTTCCACCTTAAAACATAAAATTTAAATGAAAATATACAGCGACATCTTTCTGAATGGGAAAATCATAATTGTTAAACGATTTGAGAGCTCTAGGTGTCTTATTCTCGAGGGACCTGGTTTTTTTTTCAAGGGACCACTCTATCATAGTAGTACCTTTTTCGGCGCGCGCTCCCCCCTCAAAGTTTGTAAAAAAAAGGCGCCTTTAGAAAAATTTTAAGGTCAGTCAGCCAAAAATGGATATCTCAAAATAGTACAAAAAGTGACTCTTTTCCAGTTTCCCCCCTTTCAAATTTAATTTTGAAAAGCTTATTTTACGTTGTCATAATGCAATGAAATTTGGCGTGGTGAACAAATCGACAACTGTGAACAGATTTGTTCTTCATAGTTTACAGCGTAACATCACGCATTTAGCCGTAATAACACGTAAATCAAACATAAAACTCGGTATTTTGAAAAGGGGGGAACTGGAAAAGAGCCCAAAAAGGGGATAGAGTGGTTCCTTTGGGTCGAATCCCTGAAGAGGGGGGGGCTAAATCCGCTACTGATTACCACAGTGTATCAAGAAATATTCACGCTTTTACGGAATACAACTAATTTTACGGTTTAAATACAGTAAATTCGAAAATGAAAAAAGTACTCTCTGTCGGGGAATCGAACCCCGGTCTCCAGAGTGACAGTCTGGGATACTCACCACTATACTAACAGAGACGTACTCACAACAGCATTACAGCGAATATACGTGAATTGTAAATACCAACCTTACCACCATAAATTTAGCCAGTGTAGAAGTTGCACTAGCTCTAATTTGCGCGCTAGGCATTGTTTTCTTTTCGCCTCTTTCACTCTGAGCCTGAGCAGCTTGTCCCACTGGCAGAATACAACTTGTGATTAGGGGCACAAATTGGGCCAGCAGTCCGTCTGCTCCAGTGACCACCACCTCGTCCAAAATGTGTTTGACGTAGTCTGCACTCTCGTCCACTAAGTTGTTCAGGAGGGCCGCTGTGTGTCCGCCTCCGAGTTGAGACTGAAATGGACAACAAACACTGGTTGTGATTTCAAGAATTGATTGAACGTTTTAGTTCTTTGAGACAGGGCTCTTTTCCACTTTCGCCCAACATTTGAATTTCTATTTTTTAAAAACTAGCTTTAAGTTGTCATAATGAAATGAAATTTGAATATAGGAGTTTGCCTTGACTTTCACAAAGGAAGTGAAGTGAACTTATAAACCAGTCAAAGTCAAACCGTAAAAATTATAACTGAGCGTGAAAACTGCGGGATAACTAATTAAAAAAAAACGGAAAATCATCAGCACCTATATAAAAGTCTGGCACTCTCTCCCCAAACCAACCAACCCCCCCCCCCCCCCCACCTCACACGGACACGAGCATCCATTGTATGGTCTAACGAACGAGTGGTTTTACAAGGTTAATTATGAAGACCAAATATGTGTTTCTCATAGCCTAATTAGTCTCTATGTCAATTTTCATGACAATCGAACAATGTGAACAGTTATTTTAATTATAAAAATAATTTGCAGGTGGGGGGAAGGAAAAAGAGCCAAAAGTCTGAACTACGTTCATCGACTCTTAAACAGTAGGTAAACTGTCAGAGAACTCAAAATGAAAAAAATGTATATTTTTTGAAACGTTCTAACAAAACAATTGATTAAATTAAAAGCTTTGCAAACCTTCAAGAACATTTTATGGCTCTTTTCCAGTCCCCTCCGTTCAAAATACCGAGTTTTATGTTTTTTTACGTGTTATTACGGCTAAATGCGTGATGTTACGCTGTAAAGTATGAAGAAAAAAATCTGTTCACAGTTGTCGATTTGTTCACCACGCCAAATTTCATTGCATTATGGCAACGTTAAATAAGCTTTTCAAAATTGAAATTGAAAGGGAGGGGTGAAACTAAAGAGCCTGGACCAAGTTAACATCCCACCAAGCTTTGGGGGGGGGGGGATGAAAATTGGTTTTAAGTTAGAAATTTTCAGCCAATCAGAATCGAGCATTTTACATGCAGCGCTTAGCAAATTTAATGCGAATTAAATGCTGGGTTGGAAGACCTAAATGCGTGATGTTAAGCTGTAAAGTATAAAGAACAAATCATTTTATGACCAAGTTTCATTCTGAACTGAAAACTGGATTCAACAGGTAAAACTTTTATTCCGCTGGGAAATCTCAACGATAATCAATTTTTAGAAATTAGAAAGATGCTATGCGACTTAAATGCCTAGTAATTTAATTCAATTTTTTCGAGTCAAATTAATTCTAGATGTGCCTTTATCAACTCTCTTACCTCATTTATCAGGCCATTACTTGGATTTTTGCTGATATCGGATTTACTTCATGTTTTATATTATAAATAATTATCTGAATTAATTTTTTAAAGCACGTTATTAATGCCTCACCGATTCCGAATTCGCAGTAGCCGAGCTCAATCGTCCCGCTCTTTTCCTCACACTTCTGCTCATGCTCACGTCTGTCAAGGCTGCTGTCGAGCCCATAGTACTCACATCACCCGCTGCCATATCAGACGCAGTCGACAGCCTTCCTTTTCTTCCCACTTTCTCCCCCGCCCCTTTTCTATTCCCATTCTTCCCACCGCCATTTACAGTGTCACTCTTAGCTGCTCGTTGCGACGCTCGTCGATTCTCCGCATCTTGCTCGCATTTTTGCTTCTGAGATTTTATGTCATTCATGACTTTAATTTCCAAAAAAGCTACAAAATTAACTGCAACTTGTCCCAACAACGACAGAAACCGTCTCACAATTTCCTCGTTAGCTTGGCTCAAATTCGAGACTATAACTTCGTAATCCTGTTCTTTGTGGATGAGATTCTGAGATTGAAGAGTTTCGAAACAAGATAGTAAGATTGGTGTAACTTCTTTGACTGGGTCTGGCATGGTTGAAAATATCAGTTTGACTGCTAGTGCTGTGAATTGGATCCAGGAAGCTTTCGTCACGCAGCTGATTCCTATGAATAAATCAATAAAATCATGAAGTACTAGAGACACACATTGAAACTTTTTTTCTCCCTAGTTATCCATCTTACGGTCCGAAAACGGGAGCCGGTGAAAAGCCTCGGTAAATGAAAACGACGTGTAGCCTTAGTGTCTACCTTCAAGTGACTTATTACGCGAGTGAAAACTTTTCTCAAGTGGTAGGTTTGAGTGATGAATATAGCTTCTGCTCGCTTTTCTGTACATTAATTGAATAACAGAAGTTTTTAAATGCCACTATTGAGTTCACGTGTAGTGATTCCAGTCCAGTTTTTGACTAATTCATCGTACCTAAGCTCGACAAAAGGATCTCAAGAGCTTCAGACCAGCTAAATTTCAGCATCTTCATCGTCTGAGTCGAATTCACCTATCTTTCATTGCGATTAAAAGTGAGCTTTTGGACTACGTGAAAAGTTAGTTTGAGATCAGACAGACGGTCCAAAATAAATACAGACCTTGAGTGATGATTCTTGAAATGTGCACGAAGAGATCATCATTGGAAGAAAGCTTGAACGAGGGCTCCTTAGGGTCCTGAAAATAATAAGCATGATAAACAACCAAATAGAAGAAACGCTATTCAAGAGAGCTTATCGTAAACAAATCACTGTGAAACAACAAAATATATATTTTTCCAATTTAAAAAAAAAATCGGAATTAAAACTCACATTAGTTTTAGCGTCTGCCGTCTGCACAAGCGAGCTGATAGCATTTAATGCCTGTGTCGCCATTGGCAGGTTAAATTCCAGATAACTTTCTTCAAACGGACCGTGATTCTGGAGAGCATATTTCAACAATACGTTCACATTACTCTGCACAACCTTCGGTTTCTCTTTTGCCACCATCGCAATGAGCGCCAGGGCTCGGGTTCGATCCTCGGATGTGTGGACGTCTTCGTGTTTGTTTGTGAATACCTCCCATAAGTAGTTGATCACACGGTCATTCAGAAGGTCCATGCGAACGAACTCACAAACTAAGTTCTGTAGTGAAAGCCAAGAGGAGTGCGAGTCGCCACAGTTGTCAGAACGTGCGAGGTTCAAAAATTTTTCGGCAATGCTACTGGCTCTAAAACACAATCCAAATATTTAGATCAGTACACTTAAAACCAGGTTGGCGAGGTAACAAAAGCCTGGAATACTGCTAACAATTCGTTGAAATATAGTTCAATTTAATTGTAGTTCCTGCGATTCGCAGAGGATCTATGAAAGGCTTTTGCAGCCTGTCTAAGCATAGTCCATTTCTCTTATTTCCCCACATTCCAGACAGTTATTATGTTAAGCGAAGTTCTTTTTTTGTGACTCAAGGTCGTTTTTTTGCGTCTAGAACTATCACGTGGTACCACTATTGCAGCCGAAATTGGCCAGGCTGTGGTAGACCTGAAGCTGGAGGTCAAGTGAGAGCTCGTCCTCACATACTATCATTGCCATGGCAGGGGATCGGTTACACGATCTGACGATCACGAATTTTTCTTCGGACTTATTTCTGATGTTTAAGAGCAAACGTTAAATTGCACAAAAATGTGCATAAACGTTAAATTGCAAAAAAAATGCATTAGTCGTAAAACAAAGAATTTGCTGAAATCAGGAATCTTTCACGAATTAGTTCAACACCAGTCTTGCCCATTTGCTAAAACTCACCTGCTTTGGTCGCCTGTTCCATTAAAGTACATTCTTTCAAAACCAGCCACCACAGCTGTTCTGATAGCCACATCCTCACATGCCAACAGTCCCATCAGCTGTCTCTGTCCACCCGGAGTATCCACTGCATACTGGGAGCAGACGACAGTGAAGTCCACAGCTGCTGTGACGTCAGAGGCAGTGGACGAGTGCAGCAAGTTGAGGGCGGAGGGGATGGCAAAGCGCGAGTAGATTTTCTGGATCTTGACACACTTCTACAACAGAGTCACACCACAATATAATATGTCCCAATTTAAGCTCATCAAGCGTAAGCGATGATTGTTGAAAATTATTCGCATCAACAAAAAACACAATTTTGGATATTTCCACTAGTCCTTCACCCTACTTAGATCAGTAGCAGCTATTCATTTGCAGCGGCATTTAAAAATAAGATTGGAACAAAGTTAGGCACACTGAATATATAATTTTGAGATGTAGAAAACCAAACTGAAAATTCGATTGTAATAACTTTCAATAAAACTTCAACGTCCAATTCACAAGCTGTATGAAACCAATTGTATCAATTTCAGTTGTCTAACCTGAAGGAAGATAATTCTGGTCTTGAACTTCTGAATGAGAGTTTCGATCTGATCTTGTGTCATGCTGTCCAATTCATTTAAGATCTGCTGCAGATCCTGCCTCATACTCATCTGATCATTTGACGAAGTAGAGTTTGGATCACTATTCTCCCCACTTCCATTGTTCATCATCTTCGACTTGATCGCATCCGAGTTGATTGACAGTTTCGCATAGGGTGCTAAAAGGTATCAAATTTGGTCGGCATTCTACCTTGAAAAGATGACTGATAGCATCAATGACGTATTATTTCAACGTATTATTTCAACGCCTTATTTTTCTCGCTGTTTTTTATCTTCGTTTCGATGAAGTGATACATGATTGCGCTCCATTATAAAAAAAAACATAGTAGAAACAAAAATCAAAGTAAAAAAGCGTTGGCTGACTACAAAAAAAAACCTAGAAAAAATTTGGAAGCCTCCAATTTTTCTCTGATGTCTCTAACTTTTTCAAAATTGAATACATTATAACAATTGTTAATGAATAAATAGTAAAGAGTTCTAACCAATGTAGACAGCTTTGAGCAGATCGTGCAACACTGCCATTTTCCTCTCTCTCAATTTCCTCTGTCTAGTCGCTTCCGACTGTGACTCATCCATCATCACCGAAGAAGTATCCCCCCTCATACTCGTTTCTCCACCTTCGCCCTCCCCAGGGTACTTCGAGGCTGCCAGGAACAGGGGACAAGTTGGAAATTCCTCCTGAGTTTTCTGAATACCCTCTATAGCTTCGTTGTAGGAACCGGCTTCTAGGTTGTTTCTCACAGTTGCCAACATTCTAATCAAAGCGAGAAAATATTAGTTTACTTCAAATCTCGCCTTCATTTCTCTTGACTTGCTACAAAATACGCCATAAGACCTTTCAGTTTTAATTTCGGTTGCGTAATGATTTCAGAGACATTTCTAGCGATGAACACTTTCACCTCAATAAATGCTTAATTTTCAGCTGAAAAAAATTCAACCTTCAATCTTCAATATACTTATTAATCAAGGCTGGATAATCTAACTCACCCATGTTTCAAAATAGATACCCACAGAAGACATAAGATTGAATTGGATGAAGCTGCAAATGAAACAGCAAAAAACCTTCACTGCTGCAAATTTTGCTTCAACTTTCAAGTGGAGAAGTTTGATATTTTGTGAATTTGTTATACTGATGCGGGATGAAATGGGTAATTTTAAATGGACTTTGTTCAAAACCTTAGTTGTTTCTTTACTAAAAGAATTGAAAAGAGGGAAAACTTATAAGAATATGGAATCTTCCCAAAGACATTACATTCTTCCTACAAAAAAGGAGTCTCCTGATTCTGCATGAAAAATTCTCGCAACCGGTTTTTTTTGGTTCAACCCTTCATCTCAGATTTGATTGGGTAGCTCTTGAGAAAAGTCAAATTTTCTAAAAAACGGTCAATAATTAAAATACTTTCCGGAATCCATAACTTCTGCAAAAATTAGGAGGCCGTGACAGCCTATCCAGAAAAGAGTCCTCAAACCGGGTTTTTCGATTGAAAACTTAGCCTAGGAATTGGCAGGGTAGACTTCGAGAAAATTCAAAAAACAATCAATAAAATTTGACTTCTACGAGAATCCTAGCGTTTTCTAAAACTTTGGGCATAGACACTTTTAAGCAGAAGAGATCCACACAGCCTGTTATTTCGATCCAACCCAAAAACTCTTCCCAAGGGCCAAAAAACCAGAATTGGATTTTTCCGCGGGCCAAAACTTTTTAGGTAAAAAAATTGGGCATATTCGATTATGCAGGGGAGCTTCCAACAACCCGTTATTGTGATTAACTCAAAATCTCAAATTTGAGAGAGTAGTTGACAAGAAAAATCAAAATGTTTCAAACATAGCCAACTAACAGTTGGAAAAGAGCAATGAACGCAAGTAAACTAAAAAAAACTGACTTGTTTTTTTTCAAGAGCCTTCAACTTTTGAAATTCGAAGAAAAAAGAATATGGCCTTAAAGCTCTTCGAATTTGTAGAAAAATATGTAATGGACAATTTTTTGTTAAAACTAACCTAATTTGAGAAAACTGGATCATTACGTAAACCTTTATTTCGCTGGAAAATCTGATAATTAATTTCCATTTTGGAAATCAGAAGTCGATCACGTTTTTCGTGACTTTTAAACTTTTGCTGTTCTAAAGTTGAACTTACCTTCCTTTTAACAATGCAAATGCACTGAACTCAAAAAGAAATCACAAGTCAACCCGCGAAAAAATAAAAATGGGGGTGTACAAATTTAGACTTTTTTCTGAAAAAAAAAACAAAAAAAAATCAACAAGACCTAAATAAGAGTACTCACTACGTTTATTACTCTTAAAAAACGTTTAAAAATTCGACTTCTCCGAGGGCCATAACATTTTGTGTAAATATGGTCATAGCCGCTTATGCAAGGGAGGTTCTCACAACCTGTTCTATCCATTGAACCCAAAACCTCGGATTTGGCAGGGTAGATTTTGACATAACGAAAAAAAGTCAAAACATCAGCAAAAAATTCCCCAAAAAGAATGTAGACAGTAGGGTAAAGTAAAAAGAGACTATGAGATTATGCAGGCAGGCAGGGGAGTAGGCGGTATTTTCATTAAGACCCCATTTTTGAAAATCGACAAATTGGTACGAAAAAAAATGCACTCTAGGCAAACATGCCAAGCAATACATTTAAATTAGCAATTGAACAAAACTTAAAAAGCAGAAACAAAGCCTACAATCTTTAAGCAGACATCAGTTGAGCCAAAAAAAAGTTGACTTTAAAAACAAAAAATGTAAGTCGCACCTGAAACTATTAAGATCAACTTTTGCCGGCTGTAAAAATTTCAAATATACTGAAAAATAAAAGGTCCAGTCCGGACTCGAACTCGTCCTTAGGATGCGAAAGCCACCGCGTTACCTTCAGGCCAAGTGGGAAAAAACCTGGAAGTTGTTAGGGTTCAATAAAACATCAAATGCAATTTCTTGTAAGAAAAGTTGTTTGCGGGAAAAAAATTCTAGTTCCCGATTGCAAGACACTCGCAAACTTAAAGACGTCTTCTCATAAATCTTGAATGTCACAAAAAAAAACAACTAACATAGTCAACTTGTCAACTCTAGCCTTTTCCGTATCTTCCTTCGACTGTCCTTCGCTCCCTTCCTCCATACCCTCCTCATCGCCTTTGTCCGCCTCCTCCGCTTCGCCCTCTGTCGTTTCGTTAATAGAAGACGTCTCTTTATCTACTGCCATTTTGTTCATTTTCTTCGAGGTCGTCTCTTTTTTATTCACCACTTTCAGCAGTGCTTTGATCACAAAGGGAGACATTTCATCCCACTTTTTCTCAGCATCTTCGCGCGTCATAACTGAAAAAGTCATCATCAGTCCTTAACTATACGTCATCTTTTTTTCTAAGAGGTGAGGAAACACGAAAACTACTTCATGATCGCCTCAAAACTTTGTTCTTAGACTGGGCATACAAAACAACGCGAAATATATTCATAAAAGCTATTAGGAAATTGTGAAACTGGAGCCATCAAAAACTCTCTCACTTCAAGCTCTTAAAGAAATTCATCGTGTGAGGAAACTTACTTTTCGACTGTTCGTTTTCCTTGTCCGTTGCCTGAAGAACTTTCAAAAGAGCCGCTTTCTCTTCATTCAGCATTGCTTCAAACACCTGCTTGCGAAACTAAAACAGATGTCACAATATTCTTTCTTTGACCGACCGAGGAAGTATGAATGTGTTTTGTCGTCTTTTTTCTTATTCTTTTCAAGATTTTTACTAAAAAAATTAGCAGTATAGCTTGAATTGATTTTTATGGTTAAAATGTTCGGAATTGGTTTAATTCTACAAAGAAACTCGAAAATAATCCTCAGAAATTATTATTAATTTGCGGTCATCTTGGATGCCTGTTTCTTGCTTTGAGCAAAAACCGTTTCGCACGAAAGACATAACTCAGCTACTTACTCTGAACGCGTACGGGTAGTACATGATGAAATACGTCAGAAACTGAATCACATTCTTTCGCACATTCGACGATGTATCGTCCAGAGACGGTGCCACGAACTGTAGAAGATCAACCGCCGTGCTTACTGGAATTACCATTTCACGGATCAACATGTTCAGCGTTGCCACAGCACGCGCACGGACATTCGCGTGAACATCGTGCACGTGATATTGCAATTCATCTAGAAGTTCGTCACGGGACTTGCGCTGTTGTTCCGTGAGACAGTTCGTTTCCTCTGGGTTGTTGAAATTGGTGTTTGTGGGCACTGTGGGATCGTGGGTGTTTTTCTTGAATGCGTAGAGAAGTACTTCGCCGCTTATAAAGCAAAGCGCAACTCGGAAACTGTACGACTAAACAAAAAGAGACCATGAAGAAAGACCATGCTAAGCGTCTCAGCCTGCCTGTGAACTGCTAAAGGGTCTGTAGAAAATGACCCCTTAAAAGACCTCCCTACCGCTTGCATTTTACATTATTTGGTCTATTTTGACGGTTCTACACTCCAATTTCTCTATACAGAAAATGATTGTCCGAAAATCACACCAAAATGGAACTTTTCTATGATTGCTCTACACATTGACATATATTCTGCTGCTCAAAATCAACAATAAACTTGACTGACCTCCTGCTGGAAGTGTGGCATGAGGAAGCAGAACCACTTGAAGAAGAGGTGTGACAGTCTGGGTGCGAGGAGGGATAGGAAGGCGGCCAGAGACCTTGTGGCCTCCGAGTCCTGCACGTGACCCCCAGCAGCTGCCGCCATCTCACTGTCCGCCGAGTCAGTATGACCTATATCCCTACACACAACCTCACACATGTTAACTTATTACTTTTCAGGAGATTCAAAAAACCTAGCCAATATCACAATCTTATTTTAAATCATGTATGATACGTAATTAGCTGAAATTTTAATTTCTTTTGAAATAACCTAGAAAAAAAACCAGCAACTTCCTTTTGGGTTGTTTGAAGGTATCCAATTAAATTCCAAATTTTTTAATTGTCTCATTGTGGTGGTGCACGTTGTCGTTAAGCTTGCTTGCAATCACATGGGCTACCGATTTGCGTAACAATTTACAAGGAGAGTTTGCTCATGCAAGTCACAGCTTAGTCAAGCTTGACTAATTACCTTACGCTTTGGGCCACTGGCTGCTCAAAAAACGAGTCTGTAACAATTAAACTAACCTGAGCATTTCGACGAACAGTTGTGTGTGTCCATACCCCTGCACAAGAGAGAGTGTCACTTCTGCCACCATTGGCACTGCCTTTTCACTCATCTTCAGCACATTCACCAGCTTAGACCCAATCACTATAACGAGCAGAGCGGCACACTTAATCCCACTTTAAATCAGCTCTTTTACCGTCGCCCACACAGAACATACAGATCAATTTTGCCGAATAACCATTGATTTCATGAAGTTCAATATGAGTTGTTATAGTCTTTTATGACAATTAGAAGAAGTAAACAAGTACAGCCGGTTTCTGTGCAAGTAGCACAGAATGTTCCGACCCTAGTCTTAAGAAATACAAAAAAAATTTCAAGTAAGGGTCATTTTTTCTGTGTGGTGTATTTAAACGATCTGAACGAAACAACCAGGCGTATTCGAGTCATAGTAAAACAAGCAAATTGGACAACACTTTTGTAGAAAAATGACTATGTAGAATCAGTGACTATGCTTGAATAAAAATCAAAAACTTTAAACCTGTTTTTCTCATTTCTGGGCACCCAATTACAGGGCTGGTTGTCTCAAATTTTGCAAAGTTTTTTATTCAAGTTTTTTATTTCAAAATTTGAAAAACCATAAAATTTTAATATTTTTGTTGTTTGAAAAAAAATTAAAGGAACTAAGAAACGTCATTTCGGAAACGTAAAACAAAGAGCAGTCGCATTTGAACGCAAGATTTGCAACTCATGAGAGTAGTGTCACAAAACCCAACTAATGGGTTAGAAATTTCTGATTAACTTTTCAAATTTAAGTTTTCTAAAACCGAAACTTCAAAAACCATATAAAAACGTCATATCTCAAAAACTACAAAGATTTGAGCAGCCTCATTTGGAGACAAGATTAGCAACCCCTGAGAGTACTCTGAAAGCCCCCAACTACAGGGTTAAGACTTTCAAGTTTTGAAAAAAGAGAATTTAATTTTTCTGAAAAATTTTTGAAAAATCACAAACAACGTCATATCTGAAACATAAACAAGTTTTGAGCAGTCATAATTGAAGTCACGATTCGCAACCCCCTGAGAGCCTGAAAACACTCGGACAGCCCTCAGTAAAGAGTTGAGAACTCCGAATTTAGAAGAAAAAAAATAAATTGAAGTTTTCTTTAAACTTTTTGAAAAAATCACAAAAAACATCATATCTCAAAAACTACAAAGATTTGAGCAGTCATATTTGGAGACGAAATTCGCAACTCCTGGGAGTACCCTGAAAATGCCTCATGTAGAGATAGGAACTTCAAATTTTATAAATTTTTTATAACTAAGTTCTTTGAAAAATCTGAAAAAGTCCTAAAAAAACGTCACATCTCGAAAACTACTACAAGGATTTGAGAAGTGAGATTTGGAGGCAAGGTTCGCAGCCATTAAAAGTAACATGACAGCCCTCAATTACAGAGTTGAGAATTTCAAATTTCCGGAGACTAAAAAAAATTAAGTTTATTAGAAATTTTTCAAATCGTTGGGGAACCTTGACAGCATCCCACTATTGGGCTGCTTATTTTAAACTCAGTGAAATAAACTCTAAATTCAAACTGGAAAATCGGAAAAAATTCTTAACCATTGCAATATACGATATTGCTTAAACGTGAAAAAATTATTTTGTTAAACATGCAAAAATAATACGTTGAAAAAGCTTAAACATGGCCAGATAGTGAAGCCCACATTTAAATATATAATAGATTTAAATGTCATTCGACACACGACAGAAAGGGCTTCAATACAATTTATCACTCGACCGATTCTGAAACTTAATTGCGATTCCTGATTTTGCGAGGAAAACAAAAAAGAAACTGAAACATACCCGAATACAAAGTTCGTCCCCATTTTTCAAATGATTGCAACAACAGTTGAAATTATTCTGAAAGCATGTAGGAGAAATAGTATTCCAGGCTTAAAATTCAGTTATTTCATCAGACCATGATAAGTTAGTCTAAAAAAATAGATCTTCTATTGAATTAAATTTACAGAAAACGTAAGCTTCAATTGCACAGGTATTTTCGCATATTTTTTTTCGTACATGAGCTTTGTGAAAAAGATAAGATTTTTTTTCAGAAATGTCAATAAGACCATTTATTGAAATCCATTTATTGACCACTTATTGAAGTCAACAACATTCAATAAGCATTCAAAAAATCAAACTTTTGACTATTCCGAGGTTCATAACACTTTGTGGTAAAAAAATGGGCGTGGCCGATTCTGCAGGGGAGCTTCCCACAACCTGTTCTATCCATTGAACCCAAAATCTCAGATTTACGAGGTAGTTTTAAAGAAAACAAAAAATCCTATGGTTCAAATACATACCACAGACTGGCTGTGGACAGTGCAATAAAGTGCTTTCGAAGGCTATAGACAGTGCGTTAAATTAAAAAAGACTAGGAGATTATGCAGACACACAGGGGAGTGGGCGGTCATATCATTTAAACCCCTTTTTTTGAAAATCGACAGTAGTCCTCGTGAAAAACTACAATTTCAGCGGGGAGTAAAAAAACTACAAAATCGAAATAAGAATGAAAAACCCAATCCCATACAATTTCAATATTGCTATTTTTATCAACATGCCCAGCAACACACTTTAATTTTAAATTAGCAGCAGAACAAAACTTACGAAGCTGGAAAAAATCCGAGAATCTTTTTTTTTGCAAAGTGTAATGAAAGGATCTGAACAAAAAAAACTAGGCATATTCGACAATATTAGTAAAATAATCAAGTTGGGCAACAACTTCTAGAAATATGACAAGAAAAACAAAAAATCAAGAAATTTTTTTTTAATTTCATTCTTTTTGCCAAAAAATTAATTTTACTCGAGTAAACCTAAATTTTCACGGGTGAAATTAAGCTATTAAAATACCTATTGTAAACCTGTTCGCTGGCTTTTCTCGCTCGAATTCAGATCAAAATTTAAAAAATTTAAAACCTGTTTTGTCAATACTGGGAACATTTTGAATATTTTTAATGTCGTTCGAACCACGATTGAAAGGGCTTGATATGATGCATCACTCGACCTATATTGATGATTATTTGTGGCTCCTGATTTTGCGTGGAAAACAAAAAAAAAACTAAAACACATCCGAATACAAAGTTTCTCCCCATATTTCAAATGGTCGGAGCTTAAAATAGTTGAAAGTATTCTAAAAGCATGTACAAGGGGAGAGACCGTACACAATTTCAGTTATTCGATGCAAAAACATACCATGATTTCTTGTGACTCTTAGAAAAGTAATGATTTTCTATTGCATTAAATTTACAGAAAAATTACACTTCAATTGCGCAGGCATTTTTGGCAGAATTTTTTTTTTACTGAAGTATTGTGAACAAGATATGACTTTTTCTCAGAATCGTCAAAAGAAGTATCGATCAATGCAATTCGGACAATAATTTCAATTAATATACTACTAACCATTCACGTGGTGTGGGTTATTCGATAAAATTTTAGACAGCAATTCGGCCACTACACTTTTGTTGTTCTGAGCCTGGCTCTTGCCGAACTCTGGATTCTCCAGACACTGTGCCACAGACTTTAGAACTGCCCTGACAACAAAAGACGTTAAATTGATTGTTACGACATATGATCACATGACATATGAATTTAGAAGGCTAAGTTCCGTCTAATTTAAGCTTCTCTCGGCCAAAAAACTTAAGGCTCCTTTTTATCACATACCACGATGCCACTGGATAACGATGGGGAAGCCGCTAAGGCCTCCTCCTCACAGTCAAAAGGTCGGTTTTTTGCAGACTCACCATGATTAAGGCTCGTTACTTGCAAAGATCAGGCAACGTTTCGCAAGGTAACGGTTCCAAAAATATGGTGTCCTACAATTTAATAGCAGCCAACTTAACACGGTATATTTTGTTCTCAGTCATTTCACTAATTCGTTTAACAGCCCGTATATTGGCTTATTTCCCCGTGGATCAATTACCTTAACTTAACTGACATTTTTTCTATTCAAACTATACACCGAGCACAACTAATTACCTGACGAGTGCCTCTTCTACAACCGCAGCACCAGACATCGACTCGCCACCACTACTGTCTCCACAATTGGCCCAGAGTGAGCTGAGATTCCTGCATGCGAACAAGTCTGCCAAATCACTCAGTGCTCTCTGCCTCTCCCCACTCCACTTGTCTACGTCTACCAAGTCATTGCTGCCATTCTTACCACCGAACACATCTTGCGAGTGTTTCTACAATCAAAGATCGATCTGGCTTCAAAACTAATAACAACAACTAAGGCGAAATCTCTCGTGCCAGAACAATCGAATGCCCAAAAACTATAATAGACAATCAGATTCCGAAGTTTGTTTTTAAAAAGTATGAAAGAAAATGAGTCAGTCTCAAACAAAAAAACGTTGATCAGTTGAACACATTCGGGAGTTCAATCAAGAGAGTAGTTCCACTAAGTTCCACGCAAAGTTTGGGCAAAACTCATTGAAACACCATAATCAAATTTAGATTCTCTCACCTCAGAAAGGAGAGGATGCTAATTTTGATTATCTTTGGAATTTTCAGCCAATAATAGATAGATTTGTGTAGAGAGTCATACTTCAGAAGTCGTTACCCTAGGAGTCGAAGTCTTATATCCAGCTGCATGATGCAGCAATGATCTATGCTGAAAATGAAGATAATAGCATGGTGGTAAGTAACTAGCGTTTAGATCGTCATTTCATTTACTTCAATCACCTCCCATAAGATCTCTTACTTACAAACTTTCATCATTAATTTTGTACAGACCACGTTTCGAAGAGTAGGTAGGAACCTAGGATCGGGTTTTACCCACAATTTAACTTCCTCAAAAATACACGTAGATGATCGATGGCATTATCATATTACAGTCCTCTCGGTTCTGATTCGAGTCGAGGAAATCAAGTCTCAATTTTTAGCTATTGACTAATTCAGCGCTAATACGATTAGATAATACAGAATTTAGAACCGATCTGATTTTGACTTGCCGTTTCTTAGACTATATTATCAAATTACAAAGACTGAAAACTTTTTTCTTTCATTTTGTGGCCCAAATATTGGACGCGGCTTCCATAGCAACTGGCTGTTTGTTATGTACAAAAAATAGCTAGGTACAAATCCTGCAAACATAGCAACCTGAGGCAAATAAATATACTACCAGATTTATAAATAAAACTAACTTTTCGTCGTTTTCCCTGATTGGCGATAGACGATATCTCTGCTTGAGATGAAATTGTGTCTTCATAGAAACACATCAGCTCTGTGATTACATAACATGTCATTTTCAGTCCATTCCTCAGTGACTGTAACTCTTCGCCGGTCGCTTTATCATTAAATCCAGTACTTGTCATCAATCGTATAACTTTGGAGAGTGCTGCATAAAAATGAAATTTTAGATTTTATTCTATTTTTGAAAACTTTAAAATAACCAAAATGAACAACTCACCGTCCAAGCAACTTTGCCATGCAGTGTTCACTGTGTCGATATGCACTTTTTTGGCATCGCTAAAAATCAAATCAGTTTATTTTCAGTCTACCAAGGGCTGACTAAAAAAAGTTTCAATGAGGTTTTGTCTTAACTTAGTTTCAAAAAGTTTAAATAATCGACCTCCAAAAGATGCTAGATCCACCATGTTAAATTCACATGCAGCTTACATAATCAGTGAAAAATAGACGTTGAATTTATTGGCCAGCTTCACCACTCCCGAGGATGAGACCAAGTCACTCGAGAATGAAGTCAAACTTCCTTTGCCAGGACCACTGGAAACTTCATCTGCAGCTTCTAAACAATATCAAAATGATGGCAACACGTTCTGAACTGTTAAGGGCATCCATTTTTAAAGTAGGAGCCCCAGAACTCAGCCATTATAGTGAAGTGAAATTCACTTTGGGCAAATTGAATTTCCGTTTTGACAAAACTGGTTGATATAAAACGATCATGTAAACTATTTTAAAAAATGATTTGTAAAAATTTTAAAATGCGGAACGGAATTCATTGAAATTAGAACTGACCTTTGACAGCCTGGGCCAGCTGAGGTGTTGAGAGTCTCTTGGACACGTAAAATGTCTCCCTGCTGCCCTGGACTAGCAGGTCATCCCTGCATAAGGGAAAGACAAACTCCTTCATTATCATTTAGTCCACAAAGAAATAACAATGGCGTCAAAGCAAACAAATCATAAACTCCTGGAAAAAGATTCAATTTTCATTAATACTAACAGTAACTTTAGCAAAAAAATGATAATTCTTTGAAATTCTTGATTTTATAGACTTGTTTCACAGGAACGTGTACAACGTATGTTTTAGCTTAGAAAATAGCCAAACAAATGCGTACGTGCAAGTAGTTCAAAACAACTTTGTCTAATGGATTAGTTCAAACTGAGTCAAACTGGTTCTAGTAATTAAATCGAAATCTATCGAATGCATTTGGACCAATTATAAGTGGTTACTTCCATTTTGGAACTAGCGCAACGTAGTAATTGAGACCAATAAATGGATACAGAATGAGAAAAGAGTTACCGAGAGTTACGGAATAATGGCTCAGATTGAAATTCTATTTTAAACCAGTGTGAGACATTAGACAAGACAAGCTTAATCATGAACGAAAAGGAGATAGTAGCCAAGAGCAAAACCAGACTAAAAGCGGTACAATATTTTCCATCGCCTTCACGTATTGGTTGCAGGGACCAAAATTAGCGGCTCGGGAATTCGCCATCCTCGCAAACCAAAGCGTCCTCACTTTGGTACTAATTTACACCACATACTTTTGACAGACCAAACATCAAGGCAGACAATTATACAACTTTTTTTGGCAGACCGAAAAACGCAACTTTAATGTGAACACCTACCAAAAAGTGCCCAAAGAGGAGGCATCTTTGACCCTAAATTGCATACATTTGAGTGCGTGAAAAAAGTTTGGCTCACGCTTTTGAGAGATCAAAAATCAATTTGGTTAATGCACATTTCCCATTCGTCTTGGAGAATATCCTAGATCGGCCTCTAATACGGTAGGCAAGATTTTGTGATCTTTTTGCTAAATCCACTCAAATTCGGAAAGCTCAAAATATGAAAAAACGAAAAATAAAAAAGCCCCCCAATCTTGTAGGTTGAAATTTCTTATGTCGCCGAGCAGTTTGAAAACGACTTCAATTTAGAACTGATGTGCTTTTCTCCAAACCAGAATAAAAAAAAAGACGCGCGGAGATGGTAGGACAGATACCTAAATAGGGTGCCATTAATGAAGTTCGTGTAAAACACCGAACAGTTTTTAACGAGCATGGAAACTTAAGGTATTACAACTACTAGAAGATTGTCGTACGGCTCAATTCAGAATTCAATGCCATCTATACTTTATTTAAAGGCGCGTGGCACGTATCTGATCATGTTTAAGCATATTAATTTTTGCATGTTTGACAAAATAACTTTTTCACGTTTAAGTTATATCGTTTTTTGGAAGGCTTAAGAAATTTCATCCAGTCTATGAATGATAGGCCAATTGATAAGACCTTATGTAAAGTAGTAATTATGCTGCCAGCATGGGAGCGGAGGAGTGCAGTGCAGTGTAAAGAGTGCTGTCAGAGTTGTCCCAGGGGTTGCAAAATTGACCTCCAAATAAGAACACAGGCGAAGCGGAGCTTCACATCACTTGTGATACCACGAAAACAGCATTGCAACCAAGCAGACAGGAAAGCAAGCAATAAGGTAAAAAAAAAACGGAAAAAATTTTCAAAGAAACCGAAACCATAAACAAAAAAAATCAAACTGACTTGTCTGGAATGATGCTTAATTTGCGGAAAATAAGTCCAGACACGAAACTTGAAAAACTATTTTAGAGTGAAACAAAAAATGTTGCCATGAACAACACTGAAATTTAAACTACTTTGAGACTTTAAACGTTTTGCGCGATCCGGAAGAAAGCATTAAAAAATGGCTCCCTCAAACGACCAAACATTAGGTTAATAAGCCGATAAAATATCTGCCAAAATCCTTTAGGTTGAAAAATTTTTTAAAGAAAAAAAGGAAAAAATACGAAGTCAAGGCAAGTATAACTACAAATTGCAGGAGTAAATGAAAACATAAAAAAAACTACAAGGAAAACTGCATAGGGCAAAAAATCTAAGATGTGGCAAATACGTCGACAAAACATAAACAGACAAAAATCAAAACGACAATTTTTTTGAAACGGAATACTTCGTTTAAAAACAAACAGATCCTGGTCAGATTTGAGCCCTATTCTTTACCCCCAGACTAAATGTGACGGAGACGCTTAAAAAATTGAATTATTTATGAAGTAAGATAAGGTGATTCAAATGATTCAGTTAAACGAATTGTCAACCCGAAAGTTTATATTCCGATTTGATAACGCCTGCTTACTGCAAGCTTTAAAATTCAATTACAAATTCAATTATTATTTTTATTATGAAGAATTCGCAGCTTGAGCTGCAGGTATTTCTCCCTATAGTTTCCATGGATTTTGTCGACAACTGTTGCAAATACATCTGTAGATCCAAGAGCATGAATTTGAATCGTGCCAATTTCTCTTGAAATAACTCCACATCATGTCCAAAAGAACACTTTTCAGATTTGAGCTGTTGAAGAAGTCGATGAAATGTTGTGTGACTGATTCTGTATCCCGTAAGATATCAAAAATCCTGTCGTTGAACTTCAGCGATGATTCTAGGCAATGTAATCTTCTTCGTTCGTGAGTTCTCGTTAACACTGTACATATTTTCGAAGGATACGTTGTATTTCCCATACAGAATCTTCGGGTAAAGGAGAAGATCCTTTAGTACCTGAAAATACATAGGCGGCAGAAGATTGTTTGTAACAAGACATTCCAAATAACTCAAAGTTGGGTTTACCCACGACATAACTTTTATGTTAAAGCTCTCAATTGCTTTCATATCGGATATGTTTGCTGTCCAGCATTCCGAGGCATATAAAAGAGGGGGATTTATTGTAGCTCTGTACAGATATGATTTCTCGTTATTAAAAAAGACGTGTTTCGCTTGAATAGAAACAGAGTTTTCATTCCTTTTGCAATGCGGCTTTGAATATGTTCGCTCCAATTATGATTTTCGCTTATTATCAGACCGAGATCCTTTGCAGCGACAACTTTTGGAATTTTGTAGTTATTAATCGAAAATGAAAATTCATTAGCGGAATTGTATCTTGTTTGTCCATTTAACTTGAAATTAATAAAGTTCTTCATATTAAAGAGTAGTAAATTGGTTCCACTCCAAATTTGTAGTCTTTTGATGTCCTCTTGAAGATGAGAAAGGTCACTACCCGTTGTAGAAATTTTGCTAGTCATTTTAAGATCATCTGCAAACAATAAAACCAGGGTGCAGAATATCGACAACGGTAAGTCATTTATATATATTAAAAATAAGAGTGGTCCAATTATAGAACCTTGCGGAACCCCAGAAAAATTGGAATTTTACCTGATACTGATGAGTTCACTTTTACGGATTGGGTGCGACAGGATAGATAATCATGTATTAGCCAAAAAAAATCTTCAGATATTCCAAGTTTAATCAATTTCTTCAGGAGAATTTCATGCTTGATCGTGTCAAATGCTTTAGAAAAATCTAACAGAAAGGTGAGAATGTGCGTATTACGGTCTGTGACAGAAGCATACACTTGAGATAGATTAAAAAGGAGTTGGAGATTAGCAGACTTTCGAGGCATGAATCCATATTGACTACTTTCTGCAATGCTCCGCAATAGGTTTGAACATGAATCGTTCGAAAACCTTTGAACAGATATTGAGTTAAGTCACAGGTCTATAAATTTCAGCATCCTTTTTGCTTCCCGATTTAAAAATAGGAGTAATTATACCATGTTTCTATGCTACGGGGAATTTCTTTAAGCGCTTAATGTTTTGAAATACAGCAAAAAGTGATTTAGATAAAACTAGGCTGGTTGATTTGAGCAATACCGGCGGGAGCTCATCGGCCCCTCGACTCTTGTTTACTTTTAGTTGATCTAACTCGTTTCGAATGTCTTCTATACCAAAACTAACTTTTATATTTCCGAAAATTGTATACTCACTTGGATGGAATGATACATAGTTTGGATCTTGTACGATCGTACTGAAAAAGCAGTTAAAAAAATTAGCTTTTTCGCTATCTGATTTTGCAACAAACGATTTATAACAAACGGTTGGGGGAAATTTATCTCTTTAAACTTTTGAGGTACTTGAATATGGCATTCTGATTGCGCCGCTTGCTCAGGTTCTCTTCATACACAATCCTTTCATTGGTTTGCATTGTTTCACAGTGATCGGTCATGGATTTGAGTTTCTGTAATTGATCTTCCGATGGCTTAATTTTCCGCCTTAGAAAAGACTTGTAAGGAGAAACCTTATTAAGGTAGTGCAAGGTTTCTGGTTTAACCCAACGTTGAAGATTTTGTCGTTTTTGGGTCCTTCGTGGCGTATGTTGCGATATGTGGTTAAACATCCATTCGTACCAACAAGCTTCAGGTATTCCAATTACATCCATTGAATTAAATCAACCAGGCAAATATTAAACCCCTATACATCGAGCCATCCATTCAACAAAACAGCCATCCATTCAATGAACCAGCCACCCATTAATCCTACCATCGATTTATTCGATCGGTTATCAATACCTTCATCTAACCTGCTATCTATTAATCAGTCCCATCCAGTCAGACAATCAACCAGCCATCGACCCATCTAGCAATCCATCTATCCTGCCATCCATGCATCCAGCCATTCATTCATCCAATCAGTTGCATAACAAGCCTTCAGACATCAGCTCCATAACAAGCATTCAGATTTCAACCCATCCCGACACCCGTTCACTTATCCATTTAACCAGCCATTTATCCATTCATCTAGCCATCTACCCAAGCAACCGTCTATGTAACCATCCAAGCAACCTATCATCTATCTAACCAGCCATCCATTACTCCAATAAAGCTATCCATCCAACCAGCCATCAAGTCGATCATCTATCCAGGCATCCATGCATGCATCGATCCCTCCATCCGTCGACCCCACATTCATGCTCCCATGCGTCCACCCAAACGACCATCGATGAAGCCATTCAACAAACCATTTATCTATCCAAGTGCCCATCCATCCATGCTCTCATGAATTCAACCGTCCATTGAACCCGCCATCCATCATGCCATACATACATCTAGCCAATCATCCTCC